TCGATTTATTCCCTGCAAAATATGCAGGTATTCAGCCCTAGGGTGCTATAATTTCCGCATAAACTTTTAATGCCATTCTCAACCATTAATTTTTATTGATTAAAAATTGTTTTATTTTTCTTTATACAATTGTGTTTTGTTTGGTGTTCCGTTTACCGGTTGCCAGAAATAACTGTTACAACGTAATTATACTTCCTGGTTACCATATAAAAGAACCTCCCAAGCGTAAATCCGTCTAAAAGCTACGCGTAGATTTTCTACTTAAAATATCTCTCGTTTTAATGCGAAAGAAGAAAAATTCGCCTGTTTATTCGCGTTTTCTCGTTGTCGTGTAAACCATTTCTATTGATTTTCATGACGTCACCGAGGGCTATTTTCTGACATTTCCATAATTCAACGTCGACCTTCGGTTAAAAGATCAACCTCACGATTACGTGAGCTTCGATAAAAACCGGGTCATAATGTCACATTATGTACTATTTTTTTCTTTTCTGTAATAATTTTGAAACTTTTCCTTATTTTACTTGGGATTCGATTTCATTGCGTCAAACTCTGTAGTGACCTTCGACCTTTTCGGGTAACTCCGGGTTGCGTATACATATATCGATTTTCCAAGCTTCTCCCTTTTGTGTCAAGGTGAATGGGACAAATCTGGATTAGAATCAATTTTTCTTACTTGGAAAAGTAAATATATATTATTCTTATTAAATCATCACCTTTCTGAACCCCTCGGTATTAAAAGACAAAATTTTTATAAATCAGGGTCGCACAAAAGATTAATATCACGAACATAACTCATCATTATCCGGAACACTATAGAAAACAGATTAGGTTCACAAACTATTAACACAACCTTTGAAGCAACCCCTCTAACTGTTTTAAAAAGGGTTTGATTTTGAACCTTTCAGCTTTTCACTCTGTTGGTGCATGCATCTGACAGTATAAATAGGAATGCGTGAAAACTATAAACCGGGGGTAAATTCTCGCAGATTATCGGGGTGTGTAAGTGGTCCCCTTACATTGGGGTTAGTTTCGTATGAAGGGCGATGTCCTGTTTACCCTCAACGAGTAAACAGACCAGCGCTCGTTTTGTAAATAACAAATAAGCGTTTTAACCGTGAGAGAGCATAAATTAAGGTTTTTAAGCTGTGTTTGTTTACTTCTTCCCTTTTTTAAGATGATAGGTTGAATTATTGGAAGTCGGGTGATTTAAAACTTCCTTTACGTTTAAGGAAGGATAAAGTTTCCGGGTTCGAAAGTTTGTTTATGAATTCAAAACTGTTTCTGTAAATACCAGAATGTTTTTAATGAAAAGTTTTGGAGTAAATTTCCGAGAATTGTTGAGATATCTTAGATTTAGAATCGATCCCGCTCAATTGTCTACAATGTAAGGTTGTTTCGTGTCGCTTCAGCAAAAAAAGGAAAAAGAGATAAAAAAAAATACCGAAAAGGGTCGAAACAACCAACTCTCTCTACGGTACGTGCTCACCCCAACATACATGATGTAAGGGTACGAAACAAGACTCAAGGGTAGACCTACAAAAAACTAAAAAGAAACACGTAAACCAGTATCACTACATAATTTACCCATCCCCCTTGTATAGTGACTCATTTCCGGTAATGTGCTCTCTAAAAAATTAATTTATATATATTTTCTGCCAACTATAAAAGCTACATTTTTTAATGTAATTCTGAAGCTCATGTATAAAACTAAAAAGCAAATATAAAAATAGGGGTTGAAAAAGATAAATGGGAGATCAGATTAAAAAGGAATGAGGTGTGGAAAAGAGTGAGATAAAAGTATTAGCACCAAAACGGCATTGTTATAACCCTGGAGTCGATCGAATGACTAGATTTCTTGGGTGTTAATCCTACAGCTCGCCAAGCTGATTGTTCGAGGCTTTTTTTTATTGTTACCATGGGGGGTTGCTTTGTGTTTGTATTGTATAAAGGCGTTACCCCGGGTTACTTAGCTTATTATTTCAGATCGGTTCTCCCTATTTTATTTCATTTTGATGCTATCATATCATACATATATATTATTTTGAATTAAAACTCTTCAACAAAATAAAAATTGTTTTAAACAAAAGTTATTTTAATATACTGGTATGAAAAATAATATTTTTAAGGTTATTTCATTAATAATTTGGTAAATCAAAAATTTTTTCGAATAATACTTGCTTAAATTTTAATTTTGAAGGAAAAATCTTAATAAAGATTTTTAATATTTCTATTAATTAAGGTTCTGTACTTTAATAACCTTAAATGTGTAAATTGGGCTTTTTTTTTAAAAGTAGGTTTAATCAAAAATTGTTTCAAACAAAAGTTGTTTATATTTCAATTTAAAATCGATTATTTTAATAATAAAAATTGATATTACCACTAGCTAGCGTGGTATACTGGTAAAAAATAATATTTTTGAGGTTGCCTTTAATTATTGATTAAATCATTTTTAAGAACTGAAATAAGTTCTAAAACAAAATCATTGGAACAGGGATTCTAATTAGAAGTGGAAATTTCAGTTGAAGGTTAAACAAGCACTCGAGAAATCTTGATGAAACATATCTGCATTTACTTGCGCACAAATTACACTTCATTCCTGATATCTCTTCTTCCAATTTAGATAATCAAATTTTCTTCCGTTAGAATTCCTTAAAACCAAGAAAATAAACTCCGACGTTTCTTTTATTGCTGCGTAGAAAATGTAGACGTTTGATTTATATCCGGTAACGGCTGCAGCTTATTGCCTACAATTTAATTCCACAACAAAACGCTCTTTTCGCAAAACATTTTGAAGTTTCGATTCGTTGAAATAGTTAATGTTCGCAAATCGACGTGGCTCAAACAACTCGAAACGTCAAGGCGGAAACTGAATCCAAACGATCTACTTAATTATCATATTTGGTTGCAGTTTCGGTACGGAATTTGAATGCACGTGATATCTGGATAGTTTCCGAGTAGTTAGTTGAAGCGAGAGACTTCTCGGTCTAATCAGTAGCTTAGATCCGAGTCGAAACTATACAACTCCACGCTATAATTCGCGGTTTAGATTTCTTTACACTTCTGTAACGTTGCCCGAACTATAAGTTTCGCGAGATCTCGTTTATCCAACTTTACAGTTTCCTACATATTTCCTCATATAGCTCTCGTGGAAGTTACATCTGTCCAAATAATTGGAAAAGTAACTTTGTTTATAAATCGTAATGTTTTTGGTAAATAAAAAAAAAGTTGACGTTAATATTAAATTGGAAGAGAGAGCCTCCAATTGAATTACAACTTGTAATAAACAGGAACCACGGTGATTGTGGTCTTGTATGGAACTCGAGTGACGTCGCTCAATGTCAGAGAAAGGAGGGGAGAAAAACATTGAGATAATTTTGTACTATTATTGACTGCATTTTTATTTATTTAAATTAAAACATCAATCAACTTTGTTTTAATCGTGCTTCCAATTTCCAATGTATTTTCCAAAGTTAATACAGTAGCTTAGTGTAGGTCGTTTATAGAACATGGGCGTGTCGTAAAGTCTTATTAAGTCCTGGTTAATTGAACGATGAGCCGCGACTCTTCCTCGATATATCGATCCAGTCAAGGCAACTTCCATCACCGCCTTTCTAACGACATTTTCGTTTTATAAATCGTCGTCATTTTTCGACGGAATTTCTCTCATCCGTGAGGTGTCTTATCTCTCTTATAGCACCATCCTCTCGAAATTATATAGGGTGATGGAATTTGCTTCTTGAAATTCTTCGTTATCGGGTACGACGAAAATTCCTTTTTACATTATTATCTTTGGGTAATAATTTAATTTATGGCCTAAATTAAATCGATTACTTATTATTTCAAAGGGTTAGTATTTGATGGGTATTAGAATTCCCTTTGAGGATTCCTCTAAATGGAGTCTCTATTTAATGTACAAAGGATTCAATCTAGATGTTGTATGGATAGGGGCAAGTGAACATTCTGGGACGGGTAGAAATGATGGTTTGAAACGTTCAAAGGGGCCATCTAATTAAATATTATTCAAAATGTTTATATATTTATTAGATTAGTAAATGGGGAGTTTTTATGAGGATGATCGATACGAAACGGGGGCGATGTCTCTTGCGTCGTTCCATCCCTACTAAAACGTGCCAGCTCCTTTTTTTCTCGTCCTTTCCGAAACTGTAGAGTCTCGAAACTCGAAATTTACTGCTGACACTTTAATAAAGACTCTGCATCGTGGTTTCTTTTATGGTCCATGTGATTTACGATGTATGTCGCTGTTATTACTCGGCGTAACGAGCCTGGAAGTGGAACCCAACAAGTGTATAACACAAAAAAAATCAATCCACATTATTTGAATTACAAAGAAATTGATGAAGAGTTAAATTTCACAATAACCATTAATTTTAGATGATTCAACGGCTTCCGATTATAATTAAAGAGGGGGGCTAACGTGAAATGATACTAAAACGTGTCATTGCACGTGTTCGTTGTAATAAAGGGAGAGAGAAATTTGATGCTTCTATTGTTTCGCCCCGGGTTTGTCTGGTGAAACCGGAAGCTGGTGTTATACTAAAAACATGTAGGAAGAAGAGAACATCAAGGGAAAGTGCTTATGATGCTTCCTCATTTTTAAATCGTTCTACTTCAAATAATCCTAATAGTACATGAACGAAGAATTTCTTTCATATAAGTACGAAGGCTTTCACGGCCGGTGTGAATTAAACTAAGATTAGAACTAAAACTAGGACTAACACTAGAAACTTTCGGGTTTTGCCGTCTTTTAATAAAAGGTTTGACGTTTCGGATGCCATGTTGCAACCTTCTTCAGAAACCGGTTCGAAGTGACGAGATCAAAAATCGATAACTATATGAGTGGATCAGAAGTAAAGTGAACCAAGTCCATTTAAGTTCGTTTCGAGAAAACGGACCGTTTGATTTCGATCCATTTACTAATTTTTTTGTAATAGGCAAGGAAATTTTTAAAGTTGATATTTTTTATAAATACGTATCTACACTATTGTTACTTAGGTGTTATTTAAAAGAAACTTCATTATTTTAGCTATACAACCGGTTAAAAGAAAGAAATGTGGACTTAGTTTACTTTTACTCTGATTTTTTTTTGCCGCAATTCGATCAAGTCCAACTATTAACCCATTTAGTCCCACTGGTGTAAAAACGCACTAGCGTTTTTAAAATTATTTTACAGCCATACATTTCCAAATTTAAAGGTGTTAGCTGTTTGTACGATATCAGTATAAGGTTGTTAGGCTATACATATCAAAATATTTCATAATTCTTGCTATTTAAACCATATTTACATCAATTCTTTTCTATTGAACATTTCTGTTCAAAGTATACAATGAAAATAAAACTATTTTTAGTGCATAAAATTCTTCAAAATTTTTTCATTTGCAAGTTTTTAGTGCATACTTTCCTCATATATATCTTGAAACGCGAAATAAAAATATGGATTCTGAAAATACGACTTGAAACATTAATGGTGCAAAAACGCACCATTGAGACGATGTATGAAGAGATATAAGGATTGCATCATCTTTCGTATTATTTGAAACCAGTTTAGACGCGTCTGTTAGGTGAATTTCCGAACGAATTTAGTCATTTATGGAATACTGCGTTAAGAGTGTGTTTTTGTGCAAAATGTCTCTGTTTCTCACAAAAAGGGAATTAGATGCTTCTCTAGAAGAAATTGTTAATGAACTGGAAATAGAGAAAAAGGGAGGTAATTCTTATATTATTTTGTTGTGGTTTAAAATTTATTTTTATTCGATATTGACTTTAGCCGTCGTGGATGCTGTTTATATTCCTCCTCCTGTTGACTACCTAACAGATGAGGAGTGTATAGACGACGAAAATTTAATGTCTATGAATTGTCCTCAGGACATAGACATCGCCGATACTTACGAGGTACAAGTACCCAATGCAGACAAATATAATTCCTCAGACGATGAGTTCCTCGCGGTGAAACAACGCCGTCTTATGAAGGAAAAAGAAAATAGATTTGATATAAAATGGAAAAAAAGTCAGATCGATTACACACACTTCGCATTATCAATCGAATCTTTAGATCATGATGTTCTTCGAGAAAAACTTGTGGAAAAGACGCCTTTGGAATTATTTTTTTTATATTTCGATGATGAAATGCTAAATTTAATTATTAACTTTTCTTTAAAATACGCACACGATAATAATCGACCAAACTTTCGTTTATACAAAGAACAATTATTAAAATTTTTAGGTATTGTTTTACTTTCTGGATATCACACATTACCAACAATTCCTATGTTTTGGTCTAATGAAAAAGACAAAGGAGTCGAAATTGTCAAAAAAACCATGAGTCGTAATACATTTCAGAACATAAAACGAAACCTTCATTTATTAGATAACAGTCTATTAGATCCATCTGATAAATTTGCAAAAATACGACCATTCCTTCAGCTTATAAACAAAAAAAATTTACAATTTGGTGTTTTTAGTCACAATTTATCTATTGATGAACAAATGGTTCCATATTTTGGGCGCCATTCATGTAAAATGTTTATCAAAGGGAAACCGGTAAGATTCGGTTTCAAACTTTGGTGTTTATGTTCATCTGACGGATATTTATTTCATTTTGAACCTTACGCTGGAGCCGCAATGAAAACGGGAAAATCAAAATTAGGCTTGGGTGGTGAAGTAGTTATGCAATTACTCTCTGTAGTGAAAAATCCTCATGTTCATCGGATATTTTTTGACAATTTTTTTTCATCGTTTGATTTGTTTGTTGAATTGAAAAATAAAGTTTTTTTTGCTACCGGTACTGTACGCGATAACAGAACGAAAAATTGTCCGTTAGAAAACATAAAATGTACTTCAAAGAAGGAAAGGGGTTTTTTTGATACAGCTTATGATACCTGTTCAAAAATTTCTTTAGTACCATGGAATGATCACTCCGTTGTCACTGTAATTACTAACCATTTGAATGTGGAGCCAATACAATCAATTAAGAGGTACAACAGAAAGAAAAAAAAGGAAACACTAGTTAATCAACCTTATGCGGTATCAGAATATAATAAATTCATGGATGGTGTAGATTTACACGATAACGGAATAGCCAACTATAGAACAAGAGTATTAGGGAAGAAGTGGTGGTGGCCACTATTTATTAATTCATTGGATAGTGTCATAATAAACGCGTGGAAATTATATAATACTGTCAATAATACTAAAATGGCACAATTGGATTTTAAATCACATATTGCAGTTCGGCTAATGAAATATGAAAACGCAACACCTAATACTGAACGAAACACGAGGTCAAACAGAGAATTTCAATCTTCCAATGACCATTTAATAAAGAATCACGACTCTAAAGCTCGTAGAAGATGTAAAATATGCCATAAACATACTATACATATGTNCCAGATTTTATTTTTAATAATTTTCATAATTTAATCCAATATGGTATATATACAATTTTATAGAGCAAACTTTCAGTTGTAATTTGATGTAGAAATCGTTTCATTACCTTAATTAATAATGATTAAAAGGGTAATTTAATAATAATGATTTTAAAGGACAAACATTCAATTTTAATTTGATATAAAAATTGTTTCATAATCTTCATTAATAATCATTTAAGGAATTTTTAATTTTTGATCGAATATCGGAGATTTCAGATTTTTTGAATAATTAAGAAAACTTTACCAATGTTTTTTTCAAAATGTTTACCATCTAACTCATTATGTTAACCGATTTTAACCCATTTAGTCCCACTGGTGTAAAAACGCACCAGCGTTTTTAAAATTATTTTACAGCCATACATTTCCAAATTTAAAGGTGTTAGCTGTTTGTACGATAACAGTATAAGGTTGTTAGGCTATACATATCAAAATATTTCATAATTCTTGCTATTTAAACCATATTTACATCAATTCTTTTCTATTGAACATTTCTGTTCAAAATATACAATGAAAATAAAACTATTTTTAGTGCATAAAAT